CATCAACCACTTAAACCTTCAAAATTACTTCTATTGAAACTTGTTTTTCTTTGTAGATATGGAGATAAGCATTTAATTCTCCCCCCTCCTTTTCCCTCTCTATGCTAGTCTATGGGCAATTTTATTTACAGTGACTTTTGAGTGACCCATCTTTTGTGGTGCCCAGTATCAGACACCTTAAAGGGAACTTATTTTCAGAAAAAAACAAGCATCTGCTCTCCGAAAACAAGGCCCTACAAAAGCATCTTAAGCTGGGCACCTAAAATATTTTGTTCCTTTGAAAGTCTTGATCTATATTCTTTTCTCATGCAGCACTAGCATGAAAAAAATTGTAGAGAACAGATCATTCTTAAGGGACCAACAAATGGATATTATGAAAACCCACACATAACCCCTATATGACTAATACAGACAAAAATCCATTTTCAGACAAAAGGTTCATTTCACAGTTTCAAAACCCTTTTAGTCCTTAATGAGAAAACAGCATAAAAAGGTGTCCGTACCTAATAAGGAAGGAATACATTATGTGTGCGTAATTGGATTGTGGTCAGCATTTAGCTTGCTGATGAAGTAGCTCACAAGTTGCTGTAGCCACCTTTCCATTGTGGCTGGGGCATGCTTCTACCCAATTAAATTCCCATCACTTGGGTAATGTAATGTGGCTTGCTACTTTGAGAAGCTCCTGCTGTGCTGGCAGCTTTCTGCTGTTCCTTTAATTCCCTTACAGAGCAGTATCGACTAAAAGCTGTAGTGTGACAATGGCATCTTGGGGGATTTAAACAGAGAGAATAAATGGATGGAAAAACCCTAACTTAAACTCACTTTCTAAAAAACACATGTTTCACTGCAAAATATCCCTAGGACTAGTAGTCTCTAAGTCATCTGCAATGCCTTTAATATCTTAAATACAGTACAGAAATAGAAATTATTGAAATGCCTTCATAGCTGAGGTTAATATTTTAACAATACTCTGGGGACATGTTTTCAAAAGTCAAATTAAAAGTCTACTCAAGCCTAACAACCCACCGGGCTAGAACAGTTAAGGAACACCAGTCTCTATAACCAATGGCACATGAGGGAGCCCTAGCCCTGTGACCAGCATCCTGTCCAGCTGCCTTTGAGTCTGCAGCCCAAATGACCAGGCACCCATTTACAGCTGAGTCAAAGGTGGGCAGTCTTTGTCACAGAGCCAGAGTGTGGCTTTGTACTTACACCTTCTGGTGTCAGAGCAGTATGCCCTAAGCACTCTGCCACTATGTCCCAATTTTAATAGTTCACTTTTGTAATTATTTTCACCCCAAATTTTAAATCATGCCCCCATTTGTGTGGACAGCACCCTTCAACACCAAGTAATTAGACAATTAGCCATAATAGTATTTGCCCATAATCAATTAATGTATGACAAATGTGTGGGGACCACCTTGGAGATGCTTTAAAAATGCTGTCCTTTACTAAAATGGCTGGCTGCCATAGCTCATATTATTCTAAGTTCTTACTGCCACATAAATAGTATGCTTTATCGATCACAACTCCATCCAGCACTTTCCCTTTGCTAAATATTGATGCCGTATTAAAAGTAAATTGCGATCCAAACGATCAAAGTAACATTTGCCCTCTTGGACAGCCTTCAATATTACTTGTAATTGCAATTGATTTGTGTATCTAATATCTTATACTTGTTTTCCCTTTGCTACTCATCACTTCATTACCTCAGATATGCAGTGCTATTAGTCTTCTACTTACTCCAACCGAGGGCAGCCAAACTGACAGGCTGCTTAGAAGACGACATTAAGAGAGATGGCTGACGCAGCTAAACCTCGGCTAAAATGTGAAACTATTGTCACAAGATTAGAGATTCTATTTTGTAAAGGAAGAAGAGGCAGATAAACAATCTGTTCTTGAAAACCAGGCCGTATCTGCACGATTAGTATTTTATCCCTAAATAATAATTATATGAGCCTCAATAAATTGCTACATTCTCCCAAAAGAAACCCATTAAGGAATCTTTAAAGGAATCCACCCATATAAACATTCAAAACAAGGAAATGCTTTAATGTTCTACAACATGCTCATCATTTTCACTAGCAGACTCCATCTCTTCTATAAATAAGTGCCATTTACTCCCAACATGTTTTGCAATACAATAATCAAGCCACTTTCATCGCAGTCATGCCATAACACAAAACCCTGCCTTAATAACATACACATGCATGTCCATTAGGCATTGGTATATCAGTGAACTATACACATCTTTTTCCCATGCGGTCTGAGTTTGGGCTGAGTGCTACAGTGTAATTGTAACAAATGCTGTGTGTTATAGTGCTACTGTTCAAGAAATTCTGCAGCTTTGCTTTTAAAATGCTATATACCAGCTGCTGACTTTTTAGCAGCATGATTAGGAATAAAGAGGGATGCAGTTTACTGGGAAGGAAATACCGTAAGTTGAAATCTCTGGGAATTTTGAAGTTGATGGGTGCTGTGTGTTTTCTATTAAAAGATGAGCAAAAACTCTTGGGAGACAATAGGCAGAATTTCTAAAATGTGTGATTTTTCACTATTCAATTCTTTTCCTACAGAGCATGTAAAATTGGTAATTTTTTCACATTTACTGTTTTTCTACAGGAAAAAATGTATTTCAACAAAAATCTGATTAAAAAATCAAAATGGGAGATTTTGTTAAAATCAAAATAGTTTTTTTTAGAACAGAATATTACATTCTTTATTTTTGAAAGAGCTTTTCCTTTTGAAATTTATTTGATATTATTTTATGCTTTTTATTTGTAAAACATGAAAAATAAAATACATGTAAAATAAAATGAGAATAATGTCAGTTTTAAAAAAGAACACCTAAAATAACCCTTTTTAATTTATCAAATGTAATGTTTTGATTCACCTAAAATGATTTTTTAAAATGAAATTCTGCCTTTTTGTTCTGATTCAGATTGGAAAAAATTCATTATCAGAATTTCTGTGTTTTGACCAGCCCTAGAAATACACCCCCTATTTCAGATTGAGAGGTTTCAAGTTTGTCAGAAATCAGATACTGTCCCCGCCTTATCTCCAGGTTCAATGCCTCCCTATGATACTATACAGCATATGCACAGCTATGACGAGTCAGAGGGAAAACTGCTACCTACTGAACCATTACTAGATTTTTCTTAGAGATTTTCCATTTAAATACTGACCATATCTACTAAGTTTATGATCATGAAAATAAAGCTGGAGAAGTCATGGGCTGTAGGCTGTTCTCAGCCAAAATTTCTTGTTTACATTTTAGCTATGACAGTAAAATCAGGCATTTAATATCAATGATGTCATTGCTGTCAACTTCTATCACCTGACCTTTCCTCAACCACCGTGCTTTCTGACTTTAATTCCTGACTTCCCTTCTCCCTTGCATCACAATCCCTCATCTTCATCCTTGGAGACTTCAGTTGTGATGATGATGATGACCTGTCGGACACTTTTTCTGCTGCTCTCTCCTCATTTCCTAATCTGGAGACTTGATATCAACTCTCTCATTCATCACCTGCTTGATCAGGTCTCCATTAAAAACTGTGCCACTTTTTCACTCCTTCTTGCTGATGTCTCCAGCACAGGATTTCATTTGTCTGTCCATCATCGTTCAACACTACTCCTCCTGAACCAATCACTCCCTGATTTCCACTCGCACTTTCTTCTTTCCTGCCTTCTGGTCTCCCTCTTCCAGAGACATAACTGATATAGTTTGTACCCAGAGCAAGCTACTCTTTCGTGGTAAATGCTGCCGGAATATATGTTGAGTGGTAATTTAAAAGCCAAAATTCAGTGATAAAAAAAGGAGAGGGGAGGGTTAAACTTTAGCTCCTGGCCACACCTGCACACCCCCAGCAACTTCCCCTGACACCAACGTGACTGCTTTTCTACCCTTGCTGCCAGAGCCTCTGCAGGTAACATGCAGTGGAAGCAGGGTGGTGAGGGGGATAGAAGATGTCCCCTGCCTCCTTTCCAATGTCCCACCTGTCCCATGTTGTGCTCAGGGCTTGTACCCTGCTAGCCCACCTGTAGTTCTGCTACTGTCTTCTAGTGCTCCAGTTACTGATTCTCTCCTCCATCCTTACTTACTTATCATACTTACATGGTAAAATTGACCTATGTATGATGTACAAGAGATAGTTGCAATCATGGATAAAATATCAACTCCTACTCACCCTGACAAAACAGTACTTTATATTTGTCACATCAGTGAGGGGATCAAATGGCCAGCTTCCCTCTCACTCTGTCCCAGGCATTATTTTTCATCTGGCCTGCCTCTGAACACACACAGGTCCAGGATCTATTTCAAAATTGCCAGTTCTTCTTCTGCAATAAATCCAAGATGCAGCCTTATCTCATATCTTAACTCCTGCAACCTATCTTTTTTCTGGCTTTGATAAATACAATCATGCTCCACTTCTGTCCTTTCAAAAGGTTGATGGAGAAATTACCTTCCTGTTTTGCCACTTCAGCTATTTTTCTCCTTTCAAAAGGCATCCCCTTCACTAGATCTGCCTTTCTTACTGCCTCAGATAAGCTACTTGCCTTCACCTGTAAGACCCTGCGTGACCCTCCTGTGCCCACTCCTGTGCTATAGAGATATAGACTTAGGTCCCTCCTTCAGTGATGATCCACCCTTGATTGCCGATTTATCAAATTGCCATGAGTGTAGTTGTACTTTCTCTCGTGCTACCCATTATGCGTGGAAGGGATAATTTGTCTATTACAACCCAAGAGTCATGCACAACAGAGCCTTGGCACCTAGGTGCTTCCAGAATTCAAATAAACATAAATATAAAGTCACCAAACTTAAATGATATCTTTACTGGTTCAGAGTTCATTTGTAGCTTTCTCCCTGTACCTTTTTTAATAGGAAGAGGGTTATAATTTCTATGTAAGTACTCCCTGCTAGGGACTAGCGGCCACTCTTATCAGATGCTGAAAGAAAGTGAATACAGAAGCACGATTACACTGTCAACACTTACATGCAATGATATTCCCATATCTATTCTTCATTCTGTTCTCATCTTTTTTAGCTGAGTCCCATGGTGCCGACTGTCCTTCAAAGAAACTCTATTGAAAAAAAAAAGGAAGTAAGTGACATTAAGACATGCAGTATGTTCCAACAGGAACCTTAAGGGTAAAAAATAAACCCAGACGCAAAGAGAAAATATTGTATTAACCATAATACTTTTTGTTAAAGCATCATCTAACTAATTTGCTTATCTGATAATGATATCAGCCTCTTCTCTGAATAGCATATGATTACAGCTCCATGTCTTAAAGGGGAAGGGGGGGTTGACACAAGGATAAAGTGTACATCAGCAAGAATAATTTTTGTATGTGAAGAGTTAGTTAGTCTTGCCAAAGTTACGCACCTTTAATACCAAGTGTAATTGAGTATTTAATGTGCACTAACCAAACTCTGCTTACATTTACACATCTGTGAAGCCACTGGTAACACTAGAATTACTTCATATTTACAGCAATGTGAATGGGAACAGAATCTGATCCTGTGTTGCTAATCTGCTATTAAGAGATTTACAAGTTTCATTTACCTGGTGGTAGGTGGCTATTCCATCTCTTAAAATTCATCTGCATTTTTCTTAATTTGCATTCAAAGAGCATGTGCATGCCTTTTATTAAAGAAAAACAGAATTTACAACACCTCCAAGATTATTGTTTTGTCAGGGAGGAAAATAATGTGATTTTATGAAACATGCAATCTTATCTAATATTCACCCAGTCTCTGTTCTGTAGTTAATAAAGCTAATACAATAATAAAAGTAAAGATGATATCAGTATCATTTTATATTAATGAAATATACCACTCAGCACGATCACAGCAAACAAGTTTGGCTGTGTACTTTCTGTAGTATATGGTTTTTGTTCTTAAACAATACAGCATTCCATGATTTTTTGATGTGTGTAGTATCACTATCAGTATAACATGTTACATAGTTCAATACTAAAATAGACCCATTCAGTTTAAGATCTTTAGTTGCCAAATTAAAAAGTAGAATTCTCTTATAAAGGTGGATAGTCCATTACCATGTTTCACTATTTTTGCCTGAATGATCACTAAACCACATCTTCCAACCCCCATTTGAGGGGTGCACCAGGGCATGCGTTTAAGTGCTTTGCTGAACTGAGACCCCAACACAGGAAAGCTCCCAAGCCCATGATGGGGAAACAAATGAAACTTCTCTTGCAAAGATTTGACAAATTCTTAGTAATGTTAGCTTCTAAAATGTATTGCCATTTGTCTACTTCACCTTCACAGTAGTGTCATAAGACACAGTAGTAGAAGAAAAAGTTCAGTAAGGTCTTAATCTCTTGAGAAGTCAACAGGGCTGCTTGCAGACTGATGAAAAAAAACTGATGCTTTACTTTAAATTTTCATACTTCCTAGGAGTGTGTGAAATGGGCCCTATTCGATTTGGATTCAGCCTGAATCAGGGAAAGTAATTTGGTTCTTTGATTTGGATCACTGTCCCCGATTCGATTCAGCTGAATCTGAAGCGTCGATGCTGATTCAGAGAATCAGCGATTTGGACATAGACACAGCTTTAAATGTTTTTTCTACATACTTTGAGGTACCAGGCGTGGCTTGTGAATGCTGTGATGCTGGGACAGATGGAGCATCCCACAGGAGTGCAGGGGCAGGGGGAGTCCCCCGCATACTTGGTGAATCGCTCAATCTTTCTGAGTCTCTCCGAATCAATTCAGAGGGTTCCGATTCGATTCAGAGAGATTAAAGGGTCTCCTGATTTGATTCAGGTTTGGCAGTTCAGCCACCAAATTGGGCTGAATCTCTGCCAAATAGAATCAGCAACTATAGCTTCGCACAGCCCTAATACTCCCATGTCAAGCCCCACACATGCTCAGAAAAGGCAGCACATTAGTTGCCCTCAATTGTCTGCTGTATTGGGCACTGTAGTGGTGCTTTTTGGCACTTTTATAGCTGATTGACTCAGCTATTAGATAAAAGCACCAAAAAGCCCCAATGAAATACCTGATCTATACAGTTGCTGCAGAGCTGGGTCCAATTTATGTGCTGCTTCTTCTGGTAAAGTGTGGGGGTGTTTTTTTGTGGTGGGGGAGGGGCAGGGGCATCTACAAGTAGCCTAGGAATGGAAAGCACTCAGCCCCCAAATGGGTATTTAAATAACTACTAGGAGTGCTTTAAGTGACATGATAGAAGCACAACAGGCCAAACAAGCACAACTCTACTAACTTCAGTAGACTTACATCCTCCTATTCAGTGGCAGAATTTGGACAGTTGCTTCTAAAACACAAGCACTGTCAGCTTAACTCAGTGACACCAACAAACAGAGATTATTTGTTACTTTTTGTATAGCACTGAGAATCTTGAGGATGACTATAAGCTTTCATACTCTATTTCCATTGTGGCCAATACACATTTACAACATCCACTTTTTCTAGACAGCTTTATACTTATGTTAGTCTTCATTTTTAAAGAACTGCTACAAATAAACTAAGATGTCATTTTCTTGGAGTTTTTAGTTTTCCCTTCCCAAACGTTTACTGTTGTCCAAAAAGAAAAAGAAATAAAAATAAAAATTATTCATCAGCCACTTCAGAAAAAATGGGAAAATACAGTTTATTTATTTTGAAACTGCCTTAGTTCTTTCTCGGGAGGTGCTGAGATGCTGCACTGATGAGCACATAGAAAAGATAAATGGAAGAAAGAAGGAAGTATTACACTGCTTGAGCATGAAAAGAAACAGTAATTGCAAAAGACAGCTGGAGTGTAATTTCTTAGATTCCCTATATGCTGCCATTATAGACACAGAAACAGAATGATAATCCACAGTGGATTAGAAGGAGAGATCATATTTGTCCTAGAAGTAAAGGAAAAAGCAAATAACTCAAGACAAGTGATCTACTGAGATCTTTCCTTATTTGTGAGAAATACAAGCTTCATACCTGTAATTTTTCTAGTGTTTTCTTCGGCATGTTGCCCTCCTGAGATAGAGCACTACAGCAATCCACTGAACTGCACATGGTATCTTAGCAGCTATCCATTTTAATAAGGCTGTTATAATTTTTTTTTTTAATGCAGACCCTCAACAAGAATAAGCCCCAAGGCATCCTTCAGTCTAGCAATGTCTAGAAAACAGAGGAGGAAGACTGCAGGTGAGGATGACAATTCTCAAAGAACTTTTATAAAAATATTTTTCTAACTCAACTAGTTCAAAGCTTAGGCTTCCAAATCTACTTGGAGGAGATGTTCCCAAGTAGGAAAAAAAAAAGCTCTTTTAAAATTAACTTGTACTGTAGTGAAAATTTCAGTTTAAACATGAGTTTTTAACTTTTAGCCCTCATGATCAAAATGTAAATTTTTAGTAGAGAATTCACAATGGACAACTCTGCTGCAGAGAGCAACATGATATCAAGTGGTCAACAATCCATTACAGTCATGGAGGATGAACAGTATGCTTTTGCTTGCTTTAAGCCAATGCTATAGCAGATGCTACTAAAAAAAATATTTTTTGCTGAGAATTACATTTGCTGTGATATACAGAGGAGGAAATAACTGCAGTACAGTCTGCATGATAACTGTTGTAAGCGCTGTCTTTCTAATAATTATCTTTCAAGTTGTCATTAGAAACTCATAAGGCCAGAAATATTGCAAGAAGGGCTTATAAAATAGTGAGAGGGAACTAGAAAATAGGGATATGAGTTCTAGGCTCAAGGCAACAGACAAGTAGCCTGGATAATATTCAAATCGGTTTTACTGACTCACATTCTTACTTTGCATTACCCATCTGTAATACAAGGACAGCAAAGCTAACATATCTTTGTAGGTGCTTTGAGATCTACAGAGAAAGAATGTTATGTGACTGGTTATTACTATTATTCCAAAGCTGAAAGACTTTTTCAAAAATACTTATGGTTGCTAGGTGACAACAGTGCAGTTACCTATCACATCATTTACTAAATGCAAGCACTTACAAGCAAGGAAATGAAAAGTTAAGGATATCATAAATCTTACACTGCCCGCATAACAAACAAACTTATGATTCACAAGCACAAGAAGTACGTATTAGGGCTGTGCGAAGCTTCAGTCCCTGATTCAGTTCAGCAGAGATTTGGCCCAATTCAGTGGCTGAATCTCCAAATCCGAATGGAATCAAGAGACCCTTTAATCTCTCCGAACTGAATCGAAACCCATCGAATCAATTCAGAAATTCAGACGTAGACACAGCTTTAAATGTTTTTTGTACATACCTCAAGGCACCAGGCGGCTCATCAACGCTGCGATGGTGGGGCAGATGGAGAATCCCACAGGAGCACGGGGGGCTCCCCAGCACACTTGGCAGTAGACCCAGAAGTGGACCAGAAGCACTTCAGGTTCATTTCCGGGTCTGCTGCTAAACACATGGTCCTGTCCCATCTTCCATTTCCTCCTTTGCTCCTGTGGGACACTCCATCTGCCCCACCATCACAGTGTTCACGAGCCACATCTGTATTGCTTGCACTGTAACTTGCACTGTAGTTTCATAGTTTCATAGTTTCATAGTTTCAGGGTCGGAAGGGACCTAATAGATCTTCTAGCCCGCCCCCCCGCCAGGGCGGGAGAACAACCCAAAAACACAAACAAAACCACTCACCCTAAAAACAAAAACGGGACTCAAATGAGTCCAGCCAGGTAAGTATCCAGCCTCTTCTTAAAGATCCCCAGGGTAGGGGCCAGCACCACCTCCCTTGGAAGTTGGTTCCAGCTCCTAGCCGCCCTGACTGTGAAGTAGTTTTTTCGGATGTCCAATCTGTACCTCCTCTCCATCAACTTGTGCCCATTATTCCTTGTTATGCCAGCAGGGGCTAGGGGAAACAGCGTCTCCCCCAAACCCTTCTGGTTCCCCCTAGTGAGTTTATAGACGGTCACCAGGTCCCCCCTCAGCCTTCTCTTGTGGAGGCTGAATAGGTTCAAGTCCCGCAGTCTCTCACTGTAGGGTCTGCCCTGTTGTCCCCGGATCATGCGGGTGGCCCTCCTCTGGACCCTCTCCATGTTGTCCACATCCCTCCTGAAATGGGGCGCACAGAACTGGACACAATACTCCAGCTGCGGCCTGACCAGCGTCGCATAGAGGGGGAGGATCACCTCCCTGGCTCTACTCGAGATGCACCTGTGGATGCACGACAAGGTCCGGTTAGCCCTGCCAACCATGACCTCGCATTGTCGGCCCATGTTCATCTTGGAGTCAATAATGACACCAAGATCCCTTTCCGCCTCCGTGCTCTCAAGTAGGGAGTTCCCCATCGTATAAGTGTGCTGCTGGTTCCTACTACCCAAGTGCAGCACCCTGCACTTGTCCGTATTGAAACGCATCCTGTTCCTGTCTGCCCACCCCTGTAACCTATCCAGATCCTTCTGCAATCTCTCTCTCCCTGCTAGCGTGCTCACCTCCCCCCAAATTTTGGTGTCATCAGCGAATTTAAACAGGTTGCTCTCCACCCCAACATCAAGATCGCTGATGAAGACATTGAACAGCGCAGGGCCCAGGACCGAGCCCTGAGGGACTCCACTACCCACCTCCCCCCAAGTCGAATATGATCCATCCACCACCACCCTCTGAGTGCGACCCTTCAGCCAATCTGCAATCCATCTGACCGTGTAGGCATCTATGCCACAGTCGCCTAGTTTACTAATTAGGATGGGGTGAGAGACGGTGTCAAAGGCCTTGCTGAAGTCCAGAAAGACTACATCCACCGCGACACCTGCATCCATGGCCTTTGTGACCTGATCATAAAAGGCAATCAGGTTGGTCTGACATGATCTCCCCCTAATAAATCCATGCTGATTGCCCCTGAGCATCATCTCGGATGCCGGCCCATCACAAATGTGCTCCTTGATGATCTTCTCAAAGAGCTTCCCCAGGATTGAGGTAAGACTGACGGGCCTATAATTGCCCGGGTCCTCCCTTTTCCCTTTTTTGAAGATGGGGACCACATTAGCTACCTTCCAATCGTCTGGCACCTGGCCCAAGCACCACGATCGCTCGTAGAGCCGTGCCAGGGGCCCTGCAATAACCCCAGCCAGCTCCCTCAGCACCCTGGGGTGGAGAGCATCCGGACCCGCTGACTTGAACGCGTCCAGCCCCTCCAGAAGCTCTCTAACCCGGTCCTCCCCAACCTGAGGTCTGAAGGCGATCCCCTCGCGTCCGGCTTCTATCACAGCAGGGAAGTCCCGGTCCCTGCACAAGAAAACGGAGGTGAAGAATTGGTTAAAGAGGTCCGCTTTATCCTCTGACGCAACCACCAGATTGCCCCGCATATCCTGCAGGGGCCCCACATTACCCGGCGCCTTCTTCATCCTCCCAATATATTTGAAAAAGGACTTTTTGTTATCCTTAATCCTGGACGCTAATCCGAGCTCTATCTCCGCCTTGGCCTTCCTAACAGCCCGCCTGCAGGCCCGAGCAGAGGAGGTATACTCCTCTTTGGAGATTACACCCCCCTTCCACCGGGCGTACGCCACCCTTTTGGCAAGCAGGCATTCCCGGACACCCTTGGTGAGCCAGGGGGGCTTTTGGACACTCCTGCCCGCCTTGCTTCTTTTCGGGGTTGACACCCCTTGGGCCCCGAGTATCGTTTCCTTAAGGAACGACCACTCCTCTTGGACGCTGAGTTCCTCTGCCCTCAAGGACCCCAGTTCCTCTCCCACTAATCTCCTCATCTCACTGAAGTTGGCCCTCCTGAAGTCTAGGGCCACCACCTTGCTGCGGGCCCTTGACACTCTATGCTGGATGGTGAATTCCAGCACGCGATGATCACTATTGCCCAGGTGGTCAAGAACCTGGAGGCCTCTTACCAGGTCGTCGCCTGCGGCCAGGACCAGGTCCAGCAGAGCATCTCCTCTGGTGGGACTGTGCACCTCCTGAATCAAGTGGAGGTCCTGCAACTCGGCCAAGAACCTCCTGGAGCGGTCCGTCCCGGCTGACTGCTCCTCCCAGCAGATGTCCGGGTAATTAAAATCGCCCATGACAACTACATCCCTTGCTTTTAGTGTCTCCGCAAGCTGGCCTGAAAATTCCCTGTCCAGCTCCTCCTCCTGATTGGGGGGTCTGTAATAGACCCCCACCGTCAAATCCCTCTCGCCTTGCCCCCCCTGGATCTTGACCCAGAGCACTTCAGCTCGCCCTTCCCCTGACCCCATACTGCTGGCAGGTAGTGCTCGAATTATGTAGAAAAACCATTTGTAGCTGTGTCTGTGGTCGAATTGCTGACTCTCCAAATTAGCATCTAAGCTTCAGATTTGGATTAGGCCAAATCAAATAGGAGACAGCGATTCGAATTAATGAATCGAATCACTGTCCCCGATTCGGGCCGAATCCAAATCCAAATTGAATACGGCCTGTTTCACAAACCTCTGTTAAGTATTTAATCATAAAACTACCTTTACTCTGATCCATAGATTTATTTTTAAATTTGTGATTATGTTATTGTCAAGAATGGCTTATCTGCCTTTTAAAGTGATGTTGTCAATATATGCGTCTCAATTGTAAAACAAACTGTAAAGTTCTTGAGGGAAGGGTTTACATGAAGTTTCTTAGAAAGTGCATAATCTTACTTAAATATGAATCATGGACTTGTACTGAGGCTGGTCATTATGTATTCCGAAAGATGTACAACATACAATTTTGTGTAACTTTCTTAGGCAGTTGTTGTATTCAGTTTATATTTTGAGGGAACAGATGATGGAAATGCATGCACCTACTCTCGTTTTATGTATCAGGTCTTCATAATGACTAAGAAAAGTTTTTGATTCAGATCCTCCAAAACTTAAGCATGTGCATTATTTCATATGTGTCTAGAGGATCAGAATGTACATTAATTCTGTTTGTGGTATAAGATTTAGAGTGCTTTTAACCTTTCAGACACTTGACTTTTTAGTAGTTAGGATTTGCAAGTAACTGGCAGGGAAAGATCATAAGATCATTACATTAAAGGAGGGAGCAGAGATATCTAATACCTATATTTCTTTAATAGCTCCGACACATGACTTAAATATTGAAAATGAATTGTCCGTAAACAGGATATCACCCCAAATGTTTGTCAGGAATAGTGAAAGCTTCTTTTGATGGAAGTTCAAGCCACAAGGTACTGTGCAAGGAGTACCTTATGCCAGTATC